GTTACTCCTGTGAACTTTTCAGAACCAAAGAAAATATGGAGTCAAAGGAGAAAATGAATTTCTTGTATGATTTTGAAGGATAGAAATGATAATGTACCATATGTGCACATTCCATGTGTACGCACACATTCATGGACAGGTGTATCTATTTGTTCTCACTGTGCTACAGACTGTCTCCAGGATCTCTCCTTTCTTCTCCCGCCTGTGATTCACTCACACATTCTGATCACTTCTAGATTTTGCGCCAACCCTGACCTCTCTCCTGGGATCAGATTCCATACTGCGAGTGCCCTGCTGGATATTCTATGCACCCATTCCATAGCACCTGTAACTTAATCATTTGTAAACCAGAAACCTCATCAAGGTCCTATTATTTCCTACTGCATTTCTGTTAGTCCCTTGAAGTAGATTTGGATTCATTCTCAATTTTTCCCTTTCCTTGATCTCTTGGCATATGTCTTATAAGGGATCAAATATCTTAGATTCTACTTTTGAAATATCTCTTGAATCTGATTCCTCAACTCTTGTTTATGCCGATGATACTCAGAGTCTAAGACCCCAAGTTTTCCTTCCTGCAGCTCAGCTTAAAGAATTTCTGAAAATATTTTTGCAAAAGCAACAGTACTTTAAATGTTATTAGAGTCTGTGAGAGTTTGTGTTCTTTTGACAAAGATGAATATTGTTATGTGGTCCTGATTTAGAGTTCTTGGAGGTGAATGCATTTATGTGACTTAAAAATTTTTACTGTGTTCTGGACCTCTGAGTTGAAGTGCCAGGTGTGTAACTGAGTCTTGGTAAATCAATTCAAACTTTCTCATTCTTAGTGGGTTTGAGTAACACCTCTCATCCAATCCTATGGAAAGATTATGCAAATCCAATTTTAGACCTCTGCTCCATGAACTGGGTTAATCACATGGGAGAGGTCACTTAAGTGTGAGTTGAATGGGGCTTCTGCTGATCATTCCATAACTGGAAGATCTGTCTTTTGTACAAGTCACTCCCATAAAGTGGTAGAACTGGAAGACCAGGAAAAGTTGGATAAGTTAGTGGTCACATCCTGAATTGTGACCCTGAGTGAGTAAGCTTTAAGATGAAAGACAGAGTCCAGTTACTGGGTCGCACTCTGGTGGAGTGACAGATGGTTCTGCATTGCAGTGCTATATGAACACTTCTTTAATAATTTCAATGCCAGGATCTATGTTTCTTGTTTCACTTGGCTCTACCCTTGTTGACATTCCTGATGAGAAGTATCTTATCACCATTATAAGTCAAAGACAAAATCAGTTTGACTTAGGATAGGTAGTTTAGGGATGCCAAAATATAATGTGTTTGTGAAAGAAAGCATAAATGTCAATAATTACCGGAATTGCCAAACTTTTCAAGTATTCTTCCTATTTACATTTTTCCGTTCTCTAAATTCTTTCACTTGACCATCCAAATATGTCCAAAATGCAAATTGATGTTACTATTTTTTTAAAAATTATTTTCTTTTAAGCTATAGAGTAACTTCCACTGCATTTTCAACTATGGTTCTTGCATTTTTGTTGTTGCTAAACTACAGAGTCAGAACTTACTCATAACAGCCAGGCCTACTACTGACTACTGCCATGCCTGTACATAAGACTTAGAGCCTGTAAGACTACTGCCATCCTCACAGTTTTGGTCCTTGTTAAACCCATTGTTGCAGCCCCTATTTAAATCCCATTTTATTTTCTTTCTCTCTCTTTTTTTTTTTGTTTTTTTACTGACATACTTTACCAAGCATGATATCTCCAGGGTCTGCTCCCTTTTGGTAACATATATGAGACAAAGTCTCACCAACCTTGCTTTTAAGGAAACTTTTAGGTGTAGTTCTTCTAAGACATTTTTACTGGTTTACCAAATGCAGTACCTTCTTTTAGGTCCTTTCTTTCACTTTGCAACCAATCTCTACATCCTGTCATTTCACCTGAAAAAGAGGTAAATAAAGAGGAAAGCAAGAGCAGAAATTAAAAAATCTCCCAACTCTCTTTTCAAATTTGATTTCGAATTCAATGGAGCATAATTTAGAAACCTACTGAAAGACTTATATAGCTATGAAAACACAAAACTTGATGAAAATCATCTTTTCTGTTTGAAGAATGCCACTTTGTTAGGCAGCCATCACAATGATGCAAAGCCCTTTTCTCTGACTCTCAGAGCTTGATCCCTCCAGGCCACACTTGCCTCTCCCTGTGGGTGTGATCATCACTTATGTATTCAATGTAGTCCTTTTGCTCTTTCTCTCATTTGCATCCTCATCTACCATACTGCCCAGCAAGACAAAGGATGCAGCACAAGCTCTACTTGCATGAAAGAGGGCAAAGCATAATAAATATTTATAATTCAATTTTAATAACTTGTTTTTAACCTATCAGATGAAAATGAAATAATGAAGTTTGTGAGTTCTTTGCTTTCATATAAACTAGAGTGGATTAAAAGTTAACAGTAGATTAAATCAGTCTCAGAAAATTACATTTTGTATGCCTTCCTGAGGAAATGCAATGCTTTAGAGCTGGAAGGAATTGTACAGAATCAGCTTCCCTGCCTATATTATTTCTTTGGTGATACTATTTTGTTGATCATTGCAGACTTTGCAGATTATTGTCATGATTGTAAATGTTGAATTCCCAGCAGAAATAAGAGTTTCTTTTTTTGACAATAAGAAACAGTTTCTTTCTGAATCTTTGAACAAATTACTCTGTGTCTGACTTCTTGTCCTGCCCTAGGTACAATGACCTTGGCCAGTTAATGTAGATCGTGCTAAGATGCAGATATCTGATTGGAAAAAGTCATAGATCGAGAGCAGAGAGGGACTTTTTCCCTGTGGCAAGTTTGGGCTACTTTACTAGTAGAATAAATAATAATGGAAATGAAAGCAAGGGTCTACACCATGGACGTACAAATCCCTGAAATCATCCTGTTCAAATTTCCTATCCAGCCCCATAAAGCGCTGGCTTCAATTCACTGATTTTAACTATGTAATACTTCTTTGCTTTCAAAAAGAATTTCTAAGACTGGTACATCCTTCCCATCCTTTCCTATATAGTGAACTCCTGATTTGTCATTGCTGTTAGGTGCCATTGAGTTAAGTATGACTCACAGCGACCTTGTGAATAACAGATCTGAACCCTCTTCTGTCCTGTGCCATCCTCCTTATCTCTTTGACAATTGAGCTCATTGCTGCAGTCACCATGTCAATCCATCTTGTTGAGGATTTTCATCTTTTTTTTTCTGAACCTCCACTCTTCCTAGCATGATATCCCTTTCCAAGGAGTAGCCTCTCCTTGCAACATGCACAGTACGTGAGACAAAGCTTGGCCATTCTTGCATCCAGTGAACACTTTGGCTGCACTTTTTCTAAGACATACCTGTGGTATTAGAATACCATGGGTATTCGGTGTTCTTCTCTAACTCCATAACTCAAAAGCATCAATTCTTCTGTCATCTTTATTAATTGTCCAAATTTCATATACATAGCCTAGTGACTAAAAAGTCCATCGCCGGAACTCCTGATTAGATGCCATATAGTTTATGAGCCTTCCCTTCAGATGTTAACTAATTCTAACTATGGTCCAAAAACATCTTCTGCATACTTATATGGGGAGCTTTGGTGGCCTAGTGGCAAGAAGTTGTGCTACAATTCTGAAGGCATTTGGTTCGAGGCCACCGGCTACTCTGTGAGAGAAAACTGAGCAACTATGGCAATATTTCTTGCATTTTATTGTGCTTATTTACCTCCTCTTTTAATTCATGAATATCTCCTGAGATTTTTCTTGTTTATTTGTGGGTGTATTCCCAATGACAGACAAAGTAAAGTGGTTACATTTTTACTCCCATAAATATGAATTAATTCTACAGTTTCTATTACACCAAGATTGTGGCTCTCCACCAGATTTCTTTGAGAATGTTTAGAAATGTGTGGGAATACTTGTAGTTGTCACAATGACTGCCTATGGGTGCCACTGGCATTCACTGGACAAGAAAAGAGGAGTGCTAAATGCTCTGAACTACTTGGGGCAGTTCTTCTCCAAATGTCAGTAGTTTTCCCACTGGCATCTATTTACATAGGCAAAAGCAAAGAAAAAGTGATAATTTGACCACATACACAAAACAATAGAGTCTGTATAGTATTGTTTTTGTACACTATAAATAGGAGAGCCTTCAAGTCAGTTAACAGATGGCTGGCAATATTTTATCCCTGCCCTCTAAGTCAAGACTTACTTCCATCTGTATAGACTTTCTCCTTGTACCCTGGGTCCTGGTTTGGAGTCCAAGACTAAGTCATATAAAAATGCAGAGTAACAGTTCTTCCTCTTCCATGCAAACTTTCCTTGGTTAGATGTCTCTAAGCCTGGGAAGGAGAAGATGAGAATTAAGTGCATTTCTTTTAGCAAATATAATGAGGTAATTCAATTTTAATGCTTCATCCACTGCACAGAAGGCTGAGAATGACTAATTTCAGTGATCTTATAAAAAGCCTATTTATAGCAAACCTCCTGGCTAAAGTCACCAATATAAAAGGTGGTATATAGATTTAAATCCAGTTTTCTGTCATGAGATGTCAGGAAAGCTTAATAGCTTTAATACTATCTTTTAGTTCTTGTTTTAGGAATGAAATCTCTTGGTTCAGTGTTGACCCAGACATGGCTAGGGAATTTAGGATATAGGAAGCATGTTCAGAACAAACCTGTATACAGTGTGTTTTTCAAAATAAGATTCTTTGCTTTTTTGTTTCTAGGTTAACATTTTTTTAAAAAGTAATTCCTTAAACTCATGAGACATTTAGTAATTTATATGATTTTACTGTCTGGTGCTATAAGTAGCATACAATCTTTCTGTAAGAATATATAAGTAGAGTCTAAAACTTGGCATTTTTCAATTATTGATTAAAAATGTTTTCTGAAATATATTGCATGTGAAAGACACATTTAAAAACCAAATTCTGGTCCATTCTTAGTATCTGTTTATTTCCTTTTTAGATACTCCAAGAAGTATAAAAGCGTCCACGGCAACAGCTGAGCAGGTTTTTCAGAAGCTGAGGAATAAACATGAATTTACTCTGTTGGTGACTTTGAAACAGACCTATTTAAATTCAGGTGTTATTCTATCCATTCACCACCTAGATCACAGGTAGGTGTGACTGCTGGGGCTTCTCCTGTTTTCATTAGGTATGGCTAAATGAGTGCATTAAGGATAAATAAAGAAAAGCAAACAATGATATTTGCAAGACTGGTCTAAAACAAAGAGTATGATGTTGCTATATTATGCAAAAAATCACAAACACAAATAATTGAGATTTGCTTGAAAGCAGAAGGCATTACTGCTGTTTATGTTGCTAAGAGCACACAGAAGTCACAATTCCAAGATGAAATTGTTTAATTGCTGAATGCTTCATGAGCTATTTTCTTCAGTGTTTAAGTCAAGCATACTTCTTAATATAAGGAGGGATCGAAGACTTACTTTTTTCTGTTTCATTAGTAAATCGCATCGTCTTGGAGCCTAACCTTACAGTTTTAATCACTGACACATAACTCCTTTTTCAATGTGCCTCTTAGACGGCAATAACTACACCTGTACTCTTGAGTTTAATGTTGAATAAGAATGCTGTCTGATGCCTTCTGACTTCTTTGATATGTAAAAGCATGATTCACAGAGCTGATGGGATAGGGGATGGAGTAAAAGAGAGAAGAGAAAGGCAAGTCCTTCATGATCCTTGATATATACTGTGCACAGATTGCTATTGAATGATAAAAAATATTAAATGATTCCTTTTTGAAAGAATAACCACAGTTTTGACAAAGAAAATGCCTTCATTTTTCCTGTTTTGAATCCTTGTGCCATCACTTAATATATGGAGGCCTTGGAAAAATCACATAACCTCTCTGTGCCTTAATTTCTTCATTTGCTAAATAGAGGGTCAGGGGAGAGCCATGGTGGTGCTGTGGTTAAAGTTCTTGACAGCTAGCTGGAAGGCCATTTCTGGTTCAAATCCATTAGCTGCTTCAAGGAGGAGGAAGGCAGAAGAAAAAAAAAAGTATAGCAGTCTCCTGCAAAGATTGCTGTTGTTAACCATAGAGTTGGAACCGACACATAGCTGACCCTCCAGTAGGTTTTCAGAGGCAGTACATTGCGTGGGAGGAGACTGCCCATCCTTCTCCCATGGACCAGCTGGTGGCCTTGAACCCCTTGGGATTGATTGAAGCACAGCTTCTTGCCTTTAGGCCACCAGAGCTCCTCTGTGAAGATTATAGCCTTATAAATCCTAGGGGGAAGTTAACTCTCCAATCAGTTTGCAGTAAATTGGAATTAACAGTAGGGGATTTGTTTTTGTTTGTTTAAAATGGAGAAAGCTATAGTGCTTTATAGGTTATTGCAGATGTTAAAGGGTTCATTCATCTCTGTATATACAGAAAAGCTTTGCGATCTCTGTTGTGTAGTCCTTAGCCAGTTGTGATGCCAACCTGAAATCTTAGCCTTTCTGGCAGGTTGAATCCACCACTGGCTCTGAGGAAAAAAGAGGGATAATCTCTTCCTATGCAGTTTTCAGCTTCTGAGATTCCACTGGACAGTCAGCTGTGGCAGTTCTGACTCTATGGCAGTGAATTTGAGTTTTAAGTATAAAGACTTTAATGGTCTTGTTCAGGTGTGAGCAGAAACCTTTTTTTCTTGCTTTCTCTTAATAGAACTGAGAAAGCTTGAGAGTTTAGTTATCTTTGATAACACCAAATAATCACAAGCAAATATGCATGGAGAAGAAAATAAAACAAGTTTGACTTACATAGTATAATTCTAACTGAAACTTTATCGGGCTTGTTCCAAAACCTAGAAGGTTCTGTTTTATTTTATTGCCCACCTCTCAGAATTGGTATGGCATTCTAGGTCCCTCAATAGGTTTCTTACCTCACCCCTCAGATACTCTACTGTGTGTAAGGGAAGTGTTCCATACTAATTTTACTTGTATGGTAACTGGGATCTTCATGATGAACCAATTGATGAATTGTGAGAGGGAGAGAGATCCTATCTCTAAGAGTTCACTAGCACTTCTCTTCTTGGATGGTCTCTGGTCTTAGACACAGACTTCTGCTTTAGAAGATTGGCATCTGGTGAGCTTCTTGCTTGTGCCACTTCCTCTGCCCAGACTTATTTTTTTCTGTATGCATTTAATAAAACATGAGTAATGCGCTATGGAGGAAAATCTGTCTCCTTTGCAGGATATATTATTGTTTATCTTTGATTATTGGAGTACCTGGGTGGTACAAACTTAACATGTTTGGCTACTAAAAGAATGAACGTTTGTCTCATTCATTGTTGTAATCTTTTCTTGGTTGTACATTTATGACTTTATTTGCCAGCCTATTTATACCAACGCTAAGCCTTTGAATTTTGGTCCCATTTTATCTCTTAAGATTTGTATGGTTTTGGGCTTTACCCCTAAGTATCATATCTTCTTTAGGTTAATTTTTGTGTCTGGTGTGTGATGTGGATTCTGCTTCAGCTTTCTACAGTTAACAGTTCAGCTTTGCAAGCGCCATTTGTTGAAGAGGTTGTCTTTCCTCATTATGTTGGCTTTGTTTTCTTGTTGAATACTGATTGGGAATAGATGGGTTAATTTCTGGGTTGTTCCTGTGTTCATCAAAACCTTTTTCCAGTAGCGTGAAAAGGAAAACTACTGACTGGGGAAAAAAAAAACCCCACCAAACCAACCAAAAAACATTTGGCAGTGCCATCTCAGACAAGGGTCTCATAATGAAAGTTTACAGAATTCTATAGGGCCTCCTCAAAGACTGATATTAAAAGTACAAAATGGGCAAAAGACATGGAAAGACTTTTCACAGAGGAAGACACTTAGATGACCAACAGATACATGAAG